CAAGCGCCGCGTATATCTCTCCGTCCGAGTGAATAAATAAATTATCGGCCAGCCATGGCGCTATGATTTCGCGTTATTTAAAAATTCAGACTATATTAACGACACCGATATCTCGACGAGAGGCGAATACACCGCGCGAGAGCGAACGAGAGCCTCTCTCTCTCTCGCCCCGCGCGCGCGGTTCCTCCTTCCTCCGTGCGTGCTGTTGGAATGGAATCGCCGTGCTCGATCTCGCCGCCGCGCGCCGTTGGCCGCGTTCGCGATCGCGCTCAATCGTATCCAGAAAAAAAAAAAAGGAGAGAGAAAGAGTCGAGCACAGGATAAAGCATTAGTATGGCGAGAGCGGCGGCGGATAGACCGGAGAGGGGGTGGCATAAGTATGACAGGACACGCCGAGTAGAGCCGTCTCGCTCGCGCGAGCGCGAGCGCGCGTCATCGGGAGGACTGAACAGAAAAATCAAAGGAAGGGGCGATTACATCGGATTCGCGTTACCGGGCGTAACAGTACGGCTGTAATCTCATCTAGGCACTCAGCTCGTAGCGACGGTTTTTATCCTATTACGTCACATGAATAAACTAAAGACTGTGGAGCCCGCAATGTAGCCCGGGGAGCGCATCGCGCCGTCGGGGTGGGACTAGTTCGTTCGATATGGTTTGGTTTCGACCTCGGAGTAGCGGAGAAGTCCGCGGTGGGATCCTCGGGAGCGCCGAGGAAGAGCGAAGAAGCGCGGACGAGGGCGACGGCTCGAGGGGGAGTAGACTACTGCCGCCGCCGCCGCCGCCGCCGCCGCCGCTGCTGTTCCGCCGCGCGGGCGCGGGGGCGCGGAGAAGGACGAGGCTCAACGGTGATTGATATTGTTTAGATACTCGCTACTTTGGCGAGCTTTATGATCGCGCGCGCTCGGGAAACAACCGGTCTCCCAACTCGGCATAACGCCCCCATCTGATGCGATTTAGCTACCCTCTTTCAGGTTATCGGAATACGGGTTAGGGGCCGGGGAGGGTGTTTCTCGAATAAGAGCAAAGACACACGATGGCACGAGGGAGACAAAGAGCGAGAGAGAGAGAGCGAGAGAGAGAGAGAGAGAGGGAGAGGGACGCGATCCAACACGCGTGTTGTTCCTCATTCGCTCGTCATCGCGCTCGCTCGCGATCCTTTGAATAATCTTCGACTCTGTCGTCCTGTCGTGGACTTATTGATCGGCCTCGATCGGCGCTCCTCTCATAAGTAATCCATCCGATTGTTATTAACGAATAAACGAATATCTTATTCGCGGGGATTTAAATATTGAGAGCGCGACGCGACGCGCTCGGTCGCGCTGTATCAATTTAAGCGAGCGGAATCCGTTTAACACGTTCCGAGACACCGCCGTTATAAATAAGATATAATGGGATGGTACTACGTAATGAGACAGCGGAGGAGACAGTGCATCCGCAACGCGCTCATCGAAAATATCATCTACGAGTGTACGTGTCGCTCGCGCGCATACAACTCCACGTGAAAGCCGTGGATAAATCCCCGCTAATTTCGTTACGTCCCGCTAGCCGTTTCCTCGGAGAAGTAATTTCTGATACAACAGCGAGTCACGTCGAGCGACCGTCTATCGACGCGAAACGGCGCAGCGGCCGCGTTGACCCGCTTCTCACCGCTGGATAACAAGTGCCGCGATAATGTTTCGCGCTCTTGCCTCTTGCGAATCGCTTGCAAATCCGTATTCGCCTCGAGCCGAAAAGAAGAAGAAATCCGACGTTGAGCTTCAATATTTGTGCAGCCTCCTGCTCCTTCGACTTTGAATTGACTCTCGGGAGCGTTGCCCGGCGACAAAACTCGCTCTCTTAATTGCATCTTTTAATTGCTTCTCGATGAGCAATAATAACAAGCGGTAAACCGACATCCACATCGCGAGACGAAAACGCGAATTTCGTGTAACTTTCGTGTAACGGCGACGACGACGACGACGACGACGAGGAAGCTCCGTCGCGAATCCTGAAAAGTCAAGCTCAGCGATTTCGACCGCGACGCTCGGCTGTCACGCGTGGCGCGTCCCCGTTAATGATGTTTCGTGCGACCTTGATAGAAAAACGCGCGCGCTCGATACGAATACGGTAAATGCAGCCGAGAGCTTTCCCGCCGAGTGGCGGGATATGATTCAAATGAAACCTTGAGACGTTCAATTTTAACCGCATCGCGAATCGAAAGTTATTTTTATTGAGCCACTCGCCGGCCAAGTTCCATCGTTATTCGGATATTTCCTCGACCGATTTCACTTTTGCGCCGCGTGGCCGCGCGCCGGACGGCGTTTCTACGACTGTAATTTAATGTAATCCAACCGTCGCGCGCGATATATTTATTGTTACACTACGCGATCGCGCAGAGCCGCCGTAAATAATATCGCTCCGCGCGCGATTATGATTTTTGCCTCGCTCCGATCGGCCCCGCGATTGACGTCGCGATTGACGTCGTCCCCCTCCTGATAAACTTGTTGACACGTCGTTGACCGCCGTGTAACTCGCATCCAGCGACTTATTTTCGCGTATTACCGAGGTGTCAAAGTCACTTTCATTGTTGCCTTCCCACATTCGCGAGTGTCACAATCTTCGTTGTATTTCTTTCGCGTGCAGAGACGCGTTCGTTTGACGGAGACTGCCTCCTTCACGAGTCGCGTCTTAATCGACATCGTCGTCTCCGAGGATTTTTCTTTCCTTTGTGAAGAACTTGCCCGTAAAGAGAAACCACCGACGGTACCAATTTCGATACGCAGAAGAGTTTTGTGAATCTCCAAGTCTAACGACTTTGCTCGAAAGCGTGCTGTGATTATCATAAAATGGCGCAAAATGGAGACGCGCGCATTCTCCGATGATTGAGGCCTCCCCGATGCGAAAATGCTGTATTTTTCGGCGGCCAACGTCGCGCCAGAGGCACAAATAAGCGTCGATTGTACGATTATAGCAAAATTTGCAGCCGCGCGTCAAGCGTGTCTTCGGACGTAAACCCAGCTTTAACTGCCATAAATATTCGAGCCGATACGAGTATGATATCTTCCACACGTACGGTCCAAAGTTGTATCCGAGATACAACACGCGCGACGGTCGCCAATGGGAAAAATGAGAACAGGATATTCCTGCGAAAGGTATCCCGCCTCTGGAGAGCCTCTGGAGAGAGAGAGAGAGAGAGAGAGAGAGAGAGAGAGAGAGCGCAGCCGCCGTTTGATTCCACAACAGAATAAGCCACTTTATTCGCGCGGAAGAGCGCGGAACCGTGCTTGTTCCTCGTCAAATCCACTCCCCTTAACCCTCCCGTTAACGAAGGGCTCGCTCGAAAAGGGAGCAGATAGGCGATACCTAATCGCTCTCGCGTTTCGCGCCGCGACGAAAGCTTCGGCAATTGCTGTGCGAGAGATGTCAGAGCTTCATCTGCTTCGGCTCTTCGGTTAGTCCATTAGCTCTGATTATCAGCGCGGGTCTTATCTAGGGCGCGAGCTTCTCTTAGGGAACGTCTTCTTGCTCACGTCTTTCTTGCCGAGCAAGTTGGAGCACAGACGCGAAGCGTCGGGGAGAGTGCGTTTCTCCGCGTATATATTTTCATGTTCTTTGCAAATAACGTTAACGCCGTGGTCCTCGAGCGATCAAGCAGGCGACGCGAACACGACGCTTAGCGTTTCGACGCGGCGGAAACGTAGACGAGCGGAGAAAACCTGACGTCCTCAGGAGTAACCGTTTCGTTCCGCTAAATGCGATTCAATGGCTGGAGAGACGACGTTCCAGACTCCTGCGTAAGCGATGACTTATAAATATAATCGCAACTTGGAAGGAATATCGATCCTCCCATGAATAAAGAAACACGAGCTCTCTCTCTCTCTCTCTCTCTCTCTCTCTCTCTCGTGTGTATTGGCGGTGCTCCCCGCAGTCGCGCACATTTATGGATATATTCGCGGCGAAATTGAGTGTGTCTACACGTCGCCCATAAGTACGAGACATACGAGAGCGCGGAGCATGCCGACGCGGTCGAGTGGTCGGCCGATGGAAACGAATGAAGACAAACGCCAACGCTGCTCCGCTCTCGCGCCACCGGGGGTGGCGCGGTATCCTTCGACCCCCGCGAACAAAGGCTTGGGAAAAACGGGTTGCGCTTTCGAACGGCAGCCGGATTCTGTAGGACTGTAGTAACGCGGTCAGCGTCAGCAGCATCATGTGTGTCTCTTCTTCATAACGCACGTAACGATAACGTACGTCGAGTTACCGTTTACCGAGAATCCCGCTACCGCTCGGCGCAAACAGCAGAGCGCGCGAAAGGCAGCTCTGCGAGAGCGACGGCGCCGAGCACTTTCGCCGAGATATCCATCGAGGTCGGATATCGGCGAAAATGACCGAATAGAACAATCGGGGTAATTCGAGCGGCTTGCTCTTGTTCGCCAGGCAGAGCGCCTGGCAATCGATGCGAGGGGGACTCACTCGGCTCTAGGCTCTACCTATCGCTAACTACAGAGCGGAATATCGAACGGGACGCGCGGTCGCTGAGGGGCCAAAGATTCAGCCGAAGAGAAACGGCCTGCGATTACTCTTCGCGGGATGTCACGCGCTGTGCCAATCGCGGCTGGCCTGGCCTCAGCCGCGCGAGGGTGCAGCTAGACTCGCCGCGGCTAGAAAAACACATCATCCACCGTGGAGCGACCTCGGCGCCGTCGGCGCGCGGCGGAGCCGCCTATTTGGGCGATGGAGGGCGAAATCGAGCGAACGGTCCGTCTGAGCGACGGATTCCGGAGCGGACGGGGGGGGAGATGAAATCCCCCGCGGAGGCGAAGAACGGAGCCTGCTACCGTCGCCGCGAAACCTGCTGCTGAGAGGTCTCGTGCTCTCCCGGAGCTGATGACCCGGGGTAGATGTAAATGCTTATGCAGGGCTTCCTCCTCCGAAGGGGGTATCGAGCGACAGGCGCTGGGACCGCCTGGTGGTGGTCCCAGGCTGACTCGAAGGGTAGATAGATCCGGCGTCGCACTCACCGTAGTGTTGGGCATGCATCGTCTCGGCGGCGGCATCGGGTCCGGCGCGGCGCGATAAGGCGGCGGCGAGTACCTCCCGGAGGGGAAGCAGCCCGGGGCGGCGATCGGCGTCCCGTGGAGCCCCTTGCTCCCCATCATCTTGTCCGGTGAGTACATCATCGTGCGAGCCTATCCGGACGTGAATCCGCAGCAGCTCTCGAATCGGGCAGCCTCAGACGGAACGGTGAGCGAGATACCAGCAGCGACCGCTGCGCCCTTTGCTCCCGGCAAAGGCTGCGTTCGCATCTGTGTGACTGGGGTGCGTCCTGGTGCGTCCTGGTGCGACAGCGGCGGCGGCGGTGTTGAGCTAGTGCGGTGTTGACCGTTGAGCGTGGTAACGGTAGCAGCAGCAGCAGCAGCAGCAGCAGCAGCAGCAGCAGCAGCAGCAGCAGCAGAGTCGCGCATAAACTCCAGGACTCCTCGGGGCTAAAACCGCCGCAGGTCGGTGCGGGCGACGAGATGACCGCGCGCGCGGATCACCTCGGCAGCGGCCACGGCGCGGCAGCCACAGAGCTACGTCGTCGTCGTCGTAGGTCCGAGTGTCCGAAGTGTCAGTTTATCACGAGCACGGCGGCGGTCGCTGAAGACCCGCGGTGGTCCCGCATCCTCGAGCCAACTCCGGCCGGAGTTACCGATTGAACATCGTTCTCGCGCGAACCATCAGACAGAACCCCGCGACGGGCGACGACGTGGAGCACGCGCGCGCAGCACACACACACACGCCGGGCTATGTCGACACGGGAGCAACTCTTGACGTACTCGCGCGCGTACACCTTTCCTATCTGCTATCCTACGCTGCGCTACCGGATATCGGAATCGATTGCACACTGCACTCAGAGTTTCACCTAGCCGTCCCACACGGCTCTCCTCCTGCGAGCGGCCGCGAGCAGAGGGCCGACCGACGAGCGAGCTTGGCTCGGCGGATCGTCAAGACGATCCCGCGAGCTGGCTCTCCAAGTCACCAGATTCCTGTCCCACGAGGCACTCGGTTCGCGGGTCACACTGGCAGAGGGAAAGGGAAGAAATACCGGCTCGCTCCTGCCATACACGCAAGGGGTGGCTCGCGCGGGGCAGTTACGCGGACTCTTGTCCCGAAGCTCTGCACTTTTTGGCGCTGACTGGCCGGCGAGGAGCGCTCCGCGGATGAACTCTTCCAGGGGGATGGCGGGAGTGGTGTCCGATCAGCGAGAGAGAGAGAGAGAGAGAGAGAGAGAGAGAGAGAGAGAGAGAGAGTGTGTGTGTGAGGGAGGGAGGGGGAGAGAGGGAGGGAGAAAGAGCGAGAGCGAGAACGCGCGCAGGTGGGGGTGCAGCGGGGGTTGGTGATCCTGGACGATGCGGCAGCGTGGCGCGCGCCCACGACGAGAGGGTTCGTTCGCTACGGGGTGAGTCGACAGCCAGCGGAACGGAGAGCTTCGCCGTACAGGGGCGGAGCTTTGCGCGGTCACGCTTGCGCCTCTAATCTCATGCACGTCGGCCATCTTTGCCCTTGCTTTCAGGCCTCGCATGGGTGTCGCTAACCGCGACCACCCGTTTGTCCATCCTTCCCCGAGCGAAGGGTGTGTGGGTGTGTAGAAGTTCCTATGTACCCCCGTCCTCCGTGTGTCTGTCTTGTATGCGTGTACGTGTGTACGTGTGTATGCGTGCGTGCGTGCGTGCGTGCGTACGTGCGTGCGTGTGTGTGTGTGTGTGTGTGTGTGTGTGTGTGTGTGTGTGTGTGTGTGTGTGTGTGTGTGTGTGTCTGTTTCTGGAACCCTTCACCCTTCTACGTCTACCTTCCGCTCGCCGCTCTCGCGCGCGCGCGCGCTCGATCCTCTTTACTACCCTCTCTCTCTCTATATCTCTGGTTCAACTAGGTCTATCTCCCTCCTCTTTTCCCGTCTCTGTCTCGCGACGTACATCTCTATAGCCTCTTCCGGCGGCGCGTCTTTCTCCTCCATAGCGAATATCAGCTATTTTGCTCGTCCCCACCCACCCTCTCGCGCGCGCGCGCGCACTTTCGGTCATACGCAAATGTCGTAAGCCGCGTTATCGTTGCGTCTTAGCGACGTATAAATACTTGTGCACGTGCTATGCGCGATCTTTCTCGCTGGGCTAACGAATCCCGATCTCACTCTCCTCTCTCTCTCTCTCTCTCTCTCTCTCCCCCGTCCTCCCTCGCTCGTTTCCTCCTGCCCTCCTGCCGGTGCGTACGCCACGCTCTTTTGGCGCCCTTTGGTCCCCGTCTCAATCTATTTCTCCACCATCGCTGCACACCAGCTCTCATCGCTGCGGCGGAGTCGTTCGAACTTCATCCCCCCGTGTGTCTCGCCGTCGAGCGCGCGCGCGCACCGAGAAAGCGGCACGGGGTTGCTGTTTTTCGTTCAACTTGCTTCTCGTACTTCGCACCCCCTCCCCCGCCCCTCGGGCCCCGGCCCTCGTTGACTCAAGCGAGCAAGTGCCGCTGTCACGGCGCCTTCGGTTGCTGACGAATCGCCAAGTCTGCTTTATTATACTCACCCGGTTCTACGCGCTCGCTCTCTTCAGCCCGCCGCCGCGCCGCGGCCCGAGGAGGAGAAGAAGAAGAAGAAGAAGAAGAAGAAGACGCGCCTCGAATCTGACGTTATCTGTCAGCGGGGATGAACGATAGGCGTGCGATCAACATGCGGGAGAATCGCGTGCGCGCGAAATCTGCCGGGGAACTCTGACCGACGACAAGTGATGATCGATGCTCATTAATCCGTATTAACGCGGCGCTCGTGTCGATCCTTCCGAGGATCAACCGAGCGGCGGCGGTCCTTCGTTCGCCTCGCCTTCGCGGCGACCGCTGGCGAAGTGAAGAAGCGCGCAGCGCTTTTTCGCTTACTCTTCGAGGAGTGATGTTGTTTACGAGTCCTCCGGCCTCGTTATTAATGCGCCTACTGCTGCAACGCATCATTAGAGCGCGCCATAAAGGAGCGGATAACGCATCAATAAATGGCACGGGCCGTGTAATAATTTAGTAATGATCTGTGCATATATACGCGGAATTGTAGCGAGTTTCTAGCGGTGCAAGGGAAACATTATTTAATATTATCGTTATACGTAACGTGTGCCGATATTTAAAGCGGAAGCGCCGTGCGACCGTGCGAAAGTTACGGTAACGGCGCGCGCGCGCGCGCGCGCGCGATTCTTGATCGATTCTTATCTACGCCCGCGCGGACGAGCGGAGTCTCATTGCGTTAACGTGCGTGACGTCAGTGCCGGCGATGTGGATGGAGCCTGGTATCTGCGGCGGTTCTGCGCGAATAAAAACAGCGGGAAAATTCGCGCCAGCCTCGCGCAGATGGTTGCGGCGAGACGAGCGAGCGAGCGACGCTGGAAAAGCAGCGTCGTAACAAACGTGCAACAAAGCTACTAATTACGTTAAAAATAGCTATCCCGTATGCAGTTGGTATTATAATTGTGCGTTATACGTTCGATTCGTCTGGCCCTTCGAGGTACTCAAGTCACGCACGAGCATTGCACTGTCATTAAAGCAGCCTTCAGACACATGTTGTACTTGAAACTGCAATTAAAAGGGACAAAAGGGTACGATAAGCAGGAGCGCCGTTTATTTTACATTTTAATACGCCGGGAGCTGCACCTTTGTCGCGCTGCTCTCTTCTCTCTCTCTCGCTCTCTCTCTCGCTCTCGCCCTCGCTCTCTCTCTCTCTCTCTCTCTCTCTCTCTCTCTCTCTCTCTCTCTCTCTCTCTCTCTCTTCCCCGTAGGCTCGATCGTGCCCGCGAGTCGCAAATCCATGAGGACGACGACGGGCGGCTCTCTCACGACGGGGTTATCGCGGTTGCGCTCGCGGCCAGTCGCCAAGACTTTCCGTACGCTCGCCTTTAACGTTAACTCGAAGATTTTGTTTAACGATCGTGCACATACGCAGAAATTTCAACAACTGAATCACCGCGGTAAAGTGCAGACTTGTGTGTGAGCTATTTTATAGTAAATTTTTAACGCACCGCTGGACCCTCCGTATGACCCGGGTCCCCTCTGTTAGTCCCGCAAGGCTTCGGGATTTCGGTCGATCGAATAAACGAATAAAGCCGCTTCGTCCTATATATGATCCTCCTCCGCCAATGCCAATGAAACTGACCCGTGCAAGGATTGACCCTTTCTTGTATATACATAATACATCGCATCCTATGGCTTATTTAGCTCTCTGATCGTCGCTGAAAAGTAAAAAGGAAAAAAAAAGGGAAAAGAGGGCAAAGAGGGAAGAAAAGAAGAGCGAGCAGGAAGAAGAGAAGAAAATTGCAATCTACTTTGTCGCGCCGATTCCTCGTTAACCGCCGAGATCGTCCGAATGCGGAAGTGTCGCCATTCAAGACGCGAGCACCGAAAGCGCAGGGGCGAGGAGGGAGGGAGAGAGAGAGAGAGAGAGAGAGAGGCTTTGTCGCTTGTAATAATGAAAATAGCCCGAAGGACGAATCCCACAGCCTCGTCGGCGAACGCGTACGCGACTTCCGTTCGATTCGCGTCCGGCCGGCGCGGCGACGCCCGTCGCAATTTATCCGTCCTATCGGCTAGCAATATCCTTTACGTCAGCCTCCTGCGATCCTCCTGCGGTCCTCGGCGGGTGGCGGGTGGCGGGAGGCGGGTGGCGGCGGCCAAAGGACGAAAATCGCGCCTCGGCGGCCGAGCAGCAGCCTCGGCTGTGCATCGCGACGATGCATGCCCGTGACCGAGCGTGTTACAGGGAAAACAGGAAGGACACAGAGCGGCAGGATGCGCGCGCGCGGTAAGAGGTGGCGGAACGGACGTCGGAAACAGAGCGGAGGATGCGGAGACGGGGGGGCGAAGCGAGGCAAGGTAGGTAGGTAGGTAGGTAGGTAGGTAGATAGGTAGGTAGAGGACGGGGGGACACACTGCGAGTTTGGCGGCAGTCGTTTTCCGAGGGATGTTGGGCGGAAGGTTCCCGCGGGGCCTGTGTTATCGCCTCGGCAGGATGACCAGCCCGCGGTATCAAATATTAAACCTACTTGCACCGGCAGCCTATCCTCGACAAGATATCCAAACCGTCCCCCGCGCACCGCGCGACCAACCGGCCGCCCTAACCTACCACATACCTACCACATCGCGCCGCGCCGGCTACCATCAAAACCTACGCCTAGCACTACGTCTCTATCTCTCCATTTGCCGTGCCGTGCTTACGTTGTTTGTTCGTGTAACGCCGGATATTCGTAGCGAGACGCACAATTCGCCCAGCGCGAGCGCGAACGCGCCGAGGAGGAACTCGGGGAAAAATTGTTTTCTCACGATGCCGAGATGCTGCAGACTTACGCGGCGGGGGAGGGGAGGGGGGAGGGGGGGGGAGAGCGCGAGAGCCAGGTGTCGGCGCCGGTTATCAATGTACATCGGACGGGTGAGTGCTACGAAGAATCGTAGCAAACGGAAAAAGCGGGAACAGAGGCGAAAAAAGAGGATGAAATTAGTTGCGGCAAAAATGTTGCTGTTTTAGTTATGCATAAAAACACAGAAATGATGTAATCCGCGCACAACGGCGCGTCCGCTTAATGGTTAACATGCGCATTTGCGCGCAATACGTTGTTACACACGTATATACATATTTTTGCCAGGCGTAATAACAGCCTGATTAATATTTCGGGCGTGTAATCGCGTTTTGTACCGAGATTTAAAGTGGACTTTTTAATAACTGCATCTGGCAATTCCTGGCCGGGGGTAGGAATACCAGGGGCGTGAGTAACCGGTTTCCACAGCGGAGGAGGAGGTGCATTTCGGAAAATTTCACAGATTATACATATATATATATGTATAAACAATTGAGCGCCGATACCGCAATGAAGGCGAAACGGGCGTGTGGAGTGGGGCGAATTGCCAGACTCGACACTCTGACGAGAAAAGACCGAGAGAGCAGCACCGCCATCACACGGGGACGAGAGAAATATTGCGATATTGCTTTACTTATATTTCTTTCATTTAATTACATAAAACTGCGCCTCGCCTATACTGCATGCACGCGCGCGCGCGCGCGCGCGCGAACAGGTACAGGTCGAGTCCTTCGGCATTCATTACCCCGCTATCGTCGTTTCCCGGGCAACGTTTCCGCGTTCGGTCTCTTCGATCCGTGCAATATTAAAAACTTTACAAATCACCGTGGCTGAGATCCACGGTTAAATCCACCACCCTAGATCGTAGATTACAGCAATTGCGGCGGCGAGATAGAAACGCGAAAGAGTGTGCGCCGCTCCAGCGGCGTCGGCGGCGGCGGCGGCGGCGGCGGCGAGGGTGGAAATACGAAGGAAGAGTCTGGCTGTTCGAAACACGAAAAGAATCCACGGGAGGAAACGCGCGGATCGTGGGGAGTCCAAATACATGGCGAGAGAAAACATAGGGCCACGTTTCGCCATACAATACACATATACGTACCGCGCGCGACCCTACGCGCGTGTGTGTGTGTGTGTGTGTATGGTTTTCTTCAGGTTCTACAGCAACGCGCCGCTTTCGCATACACGTACGCACGACCACCACCGCGGCGGGATAACACACGTACACACGTGCGCACGCACACGGACGCACAGGCCACGTACACACCGGCGCCCGGCCACACCGACGCATAGATTGCATACTTATGTCGGCACTGTGCACATAAAGTTAGGGGGGGCGCGCTCTCCTTCGCTGCCGCACAAGAATAAGAAACACGGTAGCATACATAAACAAGAAGGTTGGGGATGCAGCAATTTAAAACGTACCCCGGAATTCCTCCCAGCGGGGTCGTAGAGCGGCCCTCTGTATTACGAATTCCTCCCCACCCCGCCCCGGTGTCCTCCTGCATCTTACTGGGAATTTCGGTCGTATAAAGTGGTACTATGGCCGCGAGAAGCCGTGTATTAGCGGATATATCTGTCCGACGATCGCTACCGCCTCAGGTCCCCCCCCCTCCCCCGCTGGATCGTGGATTTCGATGACGTGTAATGCGGCCTCTGTGTTTCCTCGCGCGCGCGCGCGCGCGCTCGTCCAATTTCGCGGTCGTTTCCTCGTCACACGTGCGGAGATCCGCCGCCACCACCGGCACCACACCCAGCGTGGAGAAGACGTGCGGAGCAAAACAGAGGAGCCGCGTCCTTCTCCCTCGTCGGCTGCTGCTGCGTCTCTTGAAATTGCCGCGCGCAACGCGCTCCCCCGCCCGGCCCCCCGCCCGCCGTTAATAGATCTCCCGTGCCGTTTTCCCGATGCGCGAGACCGCGCGATATCCGTCGTGTGCGCGCCCGGACGGCCCGGACGGACGGACAGGCGTACGTGGAGGCGAGGGTGGGCCTTAATCATGGCTCTCGTAAAACTCGGCCGAACAATGGCCGGGCCCCGTACGAATCCTTTCACGGTAATACCTATTATGGAGATCAGCGCCGGGAACGCGCGGATAAGTCAAATAACGTTAACAATGGAGAATTTCAAGTTACTTCAGCGTTGTGAATCGAGCGCGATTGAGTGTTTGAACGGCGGTGTCGCCTCGGGCGGCTGTGTTTGCAGACATAAGGGATTCGAGCCGGGGTCGGGGTCTCCGGGCGAGTCGGGGGAGTTCAATTGGTGGCGGCAATCCTAGTAATGTACCCGTGGGGCTGTGTCAAAGTGCTTTCTGCAAGAGCACGACGTTGCATTCTGCATTCTACACCTTCGTTCTTCGGGAAAAAGGGGAAAACGGGGGGGAGCGGGCACGAAGGGTTGGGCTGCACGAGGAGCTGGGCAGAGGGGGAGGGGGCGGGACGCGGGCGCGGGCGCGCGAAGGGTAGGCGAGAGATGGCGACGCGCGGCGCGCGGACTCCTCTCCTCCTCGGAATATATCCATTCGTCCTTCATCTTTCGGCTTATCGCCGAGATAACAAAGATACCTGCGGGAGATGAATAATTGAGGGGAGTTGACAAATCGTGAATATTTGAGAATACGGAACAGAAATTCGGCGGCACGTGGAGAACGAGCCTCCTCCGCGGATACGAGTGGCTGTGAAATGTGCGACCGGGGGGGGGGGGGTGTATATGTATTGTTTATACAGATGAGTATACGTGAATCGACCGCGGCGTATGGCTCCACGTGACTTATGACTGATTCACGTAAGAGGCGTTACCCGCTAAAAAAGAATGTCGCGGGCGTGAAAAACCGCGCGGCGTCACCGGATGGGTTTTTGAAGTTGCGCCGGAGGCCGGCAACGTTCATATACACGCGTTTCTCGTGTCGGAGGACGGCGGGCGGGGGGTGGGGAAGGAGAGGGCAGTCGAACAAAAGAGGAAAAGAAGAAGAGGAAGAAGAAAAAGAGAGAGAGAGAGAGAGAGAGAGAGAGAGAGAGTCGATCGCATCGACTCATACGTGACTCGATTAACCGGGAAACCCCCCTCCCCCCCCGTCTCCCTTACTGCGCGGCAGAATCCGACTGATCGCGCGAACGGGCCTCTTTATAGTCCGACGAGGACCGTATTAAAAGTGAAAGACGCGGGTCCGCAATTGCCATTCTTACTCCGCTAAGAGATTACTCGCGCGCCGCTGCCAACGTTAATAGCACCGCGCGAAATCCGGCAATTTAATTGAATGTCGGTGGCTCATCGCCGCCGCCGCCGCCGCCGCCGCCGCCGCTGCCGCCCCCACCAACTGGCATACATTTTAATTCTGCAGACGCGGCCTGAATAGGCCTTCGGTCTTTTCGCACCTCCACACCCGGGGACTTAACTTTAAAAACCGACGGCTAAATAATGTATATCACGGCGGCGAGAGCGAGCGGTAAAACAGTTATAAAAACACCGGCAACTACGTTAGGATCAATTATTTAAGATGTACAGCTCCGTAAAGAGAGAGTAGACCAGTCGTAAAGGGGGCGGAAGAAAGTAGTGCTCCTAGGATGGGTCTGACGCGACGGGAGGGCGAGGAAAGGTGAGAGAGAGAGAGAGAGAGAGAGAGAGGGGGGGGAGGGAGAGGGAGAGGAGGGAAAAGGCGGAAGCCGTCGCGGGAGTTATAAAGGTTGCAGTTAAAAGTTCCCTGAATTATCAGGGGATTGACTAACCGGAGACACAGCTGACGGCTATTTTGAAATGGCGACGCGTCGAAATTTCAATTCCGCGATCCGCGCTCGACGGACGCACGCCGAGCCGCGTCCCGTTCTAATTCCCCCGGATCTCCTCAACCGATCCTCAAACGAGCCGACTTAATTATTTATCGCAGACTGAATCTGCCCGTTTTATCTGTGCGTTTCTTCTGGCGCTTTTGGCGCGTTCGAGACTGGAGACGAGCTGCTCGCGGGGCAGCCTTCGTCTCGCGGAGGAGACTTGAAAAGGTGTTTTGTAAAAGGGAAACGCACGAGTATATTTATCACGTTACATTAACAAGTGTCGCAACTGCAACAAGGAAGCGAAACTAGGATACAGAACACTTGAGGCCGAGAGTGCCGAGAGTTGTGAAGCGCAGTCTGTAGCGCACGCCTCTCTCGCTCACTTCTGTTGTCCCTGATGTCATGACACGTTGGGAAATATCATGTAGTCGTCCTGCTGATCCGTTCTCATCGACTCTGTCGAGCCGCTCTCGCACATGGACGTGAGTCTGTCGAGGTCGGCCGAGGTGATGTAGAAATTCGTCTCGGACGGATTGTAGCTGTCGTGAATGAATTTCGGCAAGTTGTTCGAGAGAACGTACAACCTGCGAGACATGTCGTCGAGAACCACATCTTGAGGGAACACCAGCGTCTTGTTGTTCCGCGCCACTAATTCTGCAAGTGATACACAATCATCATTGCGTGTATAAAGCCGAAAAGACTTGCCGAGACGGACTCGGATCGTTCGCTCCACTCGTTAACTCGTCGATCACGATTGCCTCTCGCGACTGCCGGCGCGAGAGACGCGTGCAAGAGAGATCTCGCAGCTGCGATTACTTTGTAATGTCCGCGTCGGAGTGCACTTTGGAGACATCTCTGACGAGACTCGCGAACTACATCTTTATTATAAGCCGCGTGTGATTCGACACTTTGTCGAATGATACAAATGACACGGGCTTTTAACAACTTATCGAGCAGCCTCAGTACTTATTGAGTATTTTCGGAATATATGATGCGGCAAAAGAGCGATAAATGATTTCGCCGGTTAACCATGTTTTCACATGTAGACGAGCGCGCTCGCACAAGCGGAGCTCGTGAATATTTCACCGCGTAATACTTACTGAATGTTTCCGGAGTTAATTCGGTTTTGGTATCCCAGCATGCGATACCGTTTCTGCTCGGCTGAGTGAAATAGTCAATACACGTTTCCGGATCGATGACGGAGGACGGCCCTTGACTGAGCGCTCCTTTGTTACCAACCACGCGGAAATTGTGAAACTCGCTCGATTTCCTCAGCGTGCTGTCCTGCAGAACATCCGTCGACACGGAGAACTCGGTGATGCCGGACATGGAGTGGAAGTAGAGCGTCCGGTAGCCGTCCGAACGGACCGGCGACAGCGACAGCCCGAAGACTCCGTCGCTCCACTGGTAGTTGTAGCCGCTGATGTTGTAATCACCTGTGCAACAACAAATGCGTGAAATATGGGGTGTTTTCGGGGGATATTGAGATCAGAGCGAGTGAGATCTGAATCCGAGAGAATAGAACATATCACCCCCGTATATACTAATATATTCTACACTAGGAAAAATGTATTGTTGCGTGAACCAAAATTTTGTTGTGACAACAAAGTAATAATTTGGTTAAAATATGCCCAACAAAACTGTTTAGTTCCTGCGAACGAATATCTTGTTTGATTACGGTTTGTTCGTATAACGTAATACTTTTGTTTGTAGCGACCAAAAAGCTTCGACTATATGAATTTTGTTAAAAATACTATAATTTTTTTCTTAATATATAAAATCTAAATTTTAGTCCACAGAAAGACAAAATAGTACCCCTCGGGTATTATTTTAGTTTATGTAAAATAATATTTCGTTATTATGTAATTTTTATGGATGAAATTACTAAAATGCCTAATATTTATATATGAAGTCTAAGAACGAAATCATTTGGTTCAGAAAATCAAGTTTAATTGAGACAACTAAATATATTTTGTTATATAAAACAAGATATTTGGTTGCTATTAAAAAATGCCTCAACTAAAGTTAGAGTTTTGTTAGAGATACTAAATCTTTTTTCCTAGTGTATGGCTGCTCTTGCTCTGCTCTGTCCTGTCTAACATGCACACGAGTGAGTGAAACTAATATGGCCGTCTAAGAATCATAGAAAAGAAAAAAGGTAATTAATCAAAATTAAACTATAACTTTTGATTGAATTTTAAATTTTTGTAAGTAAATATTGTTCATATATTGTTTATAGTATTTCAATATATCCAATAAGCCAAGAAGGTGAGGATAGAGTATATGTTGGGAGGTAATCTTTCAGAAAAATTTTAAAGCTGTATATAATAGAGATAATATTTTGCTGAACAACACAGAGTAGTAGAATATCTACTAATATCTCTGTAACAAAATATCTCTATAAATATCTCTATAAATATCTCTGTAAATATCTATATAGAGCTTTAAAATTTTTCCGAAAGAAAGTTACCTCCCAACATACACTCTACACTAGGAAAAATGTATTGTTGCGTGAACCAAAATTTGGTTGTGACAACAAAGTAATAATTTGGTTAAAATATGCCCGACAAAACTGTTTAGTTGCTGTAAACAAATGTCTTGTTTGATTACGGTTTGTTCGTATAACGTAATACTTTTGTTTGTAGCAACCAAGAAGCTTTAACTATATGAATTTTGTTAAACACTATAATTTTTTCTTAATGTATAAAAATCTAAATTTTAATGCACAGAAAGACAAAATAGTATCCATTGGGCATTATTTTAGTTTGTGTAAAATAATATTTCGTTATTATGTAATTTTTATGGATAAAATAACTAAAATGCTTAATTTTTATATATGAAGTCCAGAGAGCAAAATCATTTGGTCCACAGAGCAGAAAAATGTACTTAGTTGAAACAGCTAAATATTTTGTTATATGAAACAAGATATTTGGTTGCTATTGAAAAATGCCTCAACTAAAGTTAGAGTTTCGTTAGAGATATTAAATTTTTTTTCCTAGTGTATGCTCACCTTCTTGGCTTATTGGATATATTGAAATACTATAAGCAATATATGAACAATATTTGCTTGCAAAAATTTTAAATTCAATCAAAAGTTATAATAAAGTTTAATTTTGATTAATTACCTCTTTCCTTCTCTGTGATTCTTAAACAGAGCAAGAGCAGCCATAGAATATATTAGTATAGATGGGGGGATATGTTCTATTCTCTCGGATTCAGATCTCACTCGCTCTGATCTCAATATTGTAAACACCCATGATTTCAAAGGTCGAATCCGCTTCCGTCGCGCCGCGCCGTGAAGGCAGGCGCGGCGGAGATGATTGAACTTCTACTTTGGGACTGGACACATTACTATTCAACGGGTCGAAATGGAAGTAGTGATGATTAATCCGCCAAGAATCGTCCTTCTCCCAGCTGTACACCACAATCCCGTACTCGCTCAAGTCGCTCATATACGCGTACGCTTTGTCGCATTGTCCGGGCGGCACGTCCACCGCGAGGTCGGCGATAAAGGTGTCAGGCTTCACGTCCGTGTCCTTCAGGGTGTATTTACGGATAATCTGCAACAGGTGCTCATATGATCATTGCACCGGCGGCGGCGATCTTACTTGGCGAGCGCGGAATCATCACGAAGGTGAGAAGGTACGAGCTCGTTACCTCGTCTGTTTTCAAGTCGATCACGATGAGCCTCATCGGTCGCACGACCTTCGAGTCTCCCAGAATATCGTCCACTCCCGTGTCGAGGCCCCACATGCGATCGCAGGAATCGATTCTGAGACGGAAGATGCTCACGAGACCATCGGGCGTATGGATGTTGTTCGTCTTGAAATCGGGGTACGGGTCTAACATTGGACTGGCTGTGTGATGTATTAAATACGCATGAATTAATTACACGCCTTCCGGCGAGACAATATATTCATCTCATATTTTCGAGTTTCTCGACAAACAACTCATATTCATGTCCGACCGTGTCGACTTGGTATTTATTTTCTGTCAAAGTGTTAAGTGCGAACTCCGATAATTCGGCACGAGCGAACTAAACCACTCGGCGAAGTATCACCAAGTGTATATTTCACTCACGCGAGCTATCGTCCATGGAGAAGCTGTTCACGGTAGCCAAGACTCCGCGCTTCCACCGCGGCACGGTGACAAATATTTTTTTATGCCAAACTGCCAGGCCCAGTGGCATATTATTCTCTGGAACGTAATCGCCCGAAGCTATAAACTCGTTTTGGATGCTGTCGTTTGGCAGTTTGTATTCGACCTGTTTCCACGAGTAAACGGTATCGAAGGTGTGGCCAGTTGTTGCCACGGCCAGAGAGACCACCAACGACAGTAAGTGGAGCATATCTGCAAGACGAAGATCGATATTCTCGGTTAGACAACAGATGATCAATGTTGCGACAATTCTGTATTGTAAAATGTTATCGCGTGAAACGCGTCACACACAGTGCATAATATTATATCAAATATATTTTAAGAAAGAATGAAAAGAAACGGAGTTGCATCCAACAATCGAAATTGAGAAGACTCGATCCGCTCGAGGAAAATTATTATACGGAAGACACTTGAACTCGATCGCTACGATTGTATAAGCAGAAAAATATCTGCTGCAAATGTTTCAGCGAGACCTCTTTATGGTCTAAAAATTACACAAATCTGCAGCACCGGTATGAGCAAAAATAACGATAAACCGATTACGAGGAACAAGATGATGAGATGGATAATAACGGACCTTGGCATATATGTAAATTTTATGTGTAATGATGTAATAGTGATCTAAAATTATTCACCCGCGCACAACACGTTCGTGGTTTTATTCGTGTATATTCGTGTATCGCCACCGCTGATTATCGACGAAACGGCAAAAAATATCTCAGATATTACCTCTTTTCTGTATATGATTTCACGTTTTATGTCACAAGCGCTATCCTTCCCGAATCAAAGATAAAATATCATCGACATTTTTCCCGAGTAATCAACAATCATGAATCGCCGATATAACGCGGCGAGTTGGCCACACACAATGCCATTGACTGAAAGATCCTAGTTGCTATCACTAAATCTTAAGACTACTGTGTCGGTCTACGTATTAATTATGATTCCATTGTGTAGATGAAGATATCGAGAGGCTGCTAAAGTAATTGAATGTAATCGCAAACTGAGTCATACAACTTTAATTAGTTTTTAATATTTTCTTCTTTTTCGTCAATATATTGAAAGATCTCGAGAGAATGACCACGATTATTATTATAGGAATATGCGGACAATTTTTACAGAATTTCCGGAAAATACACAGAGATATTTCGCTTGCATTTTTAAATCTAATCTTCTTAAGCTCTCAAAGAGCGAGATAGAGATGGAGAGAACGTTTCTTGCTTCCTGCACGTTTGAACACGAATTGCCAAGTTCTTAGAACTATTTGCGCGAGTTATTATGTCCATAAAGTTGATTATAATTCTCCTAACTGTTTACGTCGCATTGTTACCAAAACACATGGCGAGAGAATGGCGTTTTAGGAAAAAAAACAGCACGAAGGCCATAAGAGAGTCTATCTCTCACGAAGGTCACACGAAATCTTTGTTTTTTTACGTCCGACGTTAATGTGATTGCAGTTATGTAACCGCTGATTACTTATGACGATGTTACTTATGACGATCGCCTTGATTTATTGGCTGCATTATTTTCGAATGATATAAAAAAAATTAGTACTCATGTCAAAGGATACAAATCGAGGTCATTAGTCATTGTTCATAACACAAATGCGCGATAATTATATACATATGAATATTATATTGTGCTATTTTCTGTCAATTTGTTTCGACACAAAGAATGCGATACGTCGAACAAGTATCGATAATAATTAATCTCGCCGTATAAATATTAATAGATGGAAAGTCTCGAGGTTCAAGCTATTAATCCAAGGACAAATTCCCAATGCTCCGAATTTACGCAAGGAGGAGATTACCTTAATTCAAGATTGGTGTGTGTGTGTGTGTGTGATACTCACTGTTTGAACTGGACTGGTCTGCCCCGGGAAGGTACAAAACGGAATGACGCTGTAATACACCGTGTTGTAGGCTTTTATACACAACACATTCTTCCAGGTGTACGTGTGCTGGTGGCGTCTGTGATGAAAAAGCATGCAAATCCGGTATTGGATGAAGCACACGGATAAAACGCCAGAAAAAATCTACACGCGTTACCTACGCGATTTTATGCAAGATATTTGAGAGTAATAATTCATAGGTTTTAGATTTTTAACAGCACAAAAGTAACGGACGTACCAAAATTTGTACGACGTAAAAATGGCGATGGCCGATGGCGCAGCATTTTCAAAATGAAATATTCCGAAAAGTTTTCTTTAAAAATAATATTTTTGTGTTACATTTTCCGGCGCAAAGCAAACGGCGCAGTAGCATCTTCATTAGGACTACGAAGTCTGAAATGATACCATCCGCGACCGGCGGAAGTGCTTTCAATATGGCCCGCCATGCGTGACAATCATACGCACGTTTATTCGACGAATAATTGCGTTTGATCATAATAATAGTGGGCGCATGTCGTGTTTATTAATACATGCCTGCGAATTATCGTGTGAACGACCACGCTTTTACTCCATTCCAATTATTTTCTTTACATATGGCTTTATGTAAAAATTTCGTGCCGTAGTATAACGTATCTTAACACTGACATAAATCACGCTAAGCTAAGCATAAACCTCGAAATAAAGCAAACGCACAAATGTTTCTGCGAAAGCTTTATCTTACAAAGAAGCGCACAATAATAATCTCTCTAATGTTTCTTTTGATGAACCTTTAATACCCTTTAAATTACTAATCAAAATCTAGAATAGGGAATGCCTGCCTCACACACGAATGCCTCACAGATAATATTAAAAAAGTAAATCATCCCTTTAAAAAAATTTGTTTTTTTTTCTTTTTAAACAAATTGCGCTTAAACAAGGAAAAAAATAAATAAAAAAAATTATAATTCCAGACTTGTATATTTTATAACGATGTTTTAGAAATTTTCTAAAATGTAATGTTTTTTAAATATATCTCATCACTGAGATATTTTATATCGGATCCAACAAAAAAAATGTACATATATATATATATATATATATACACACACACAAGAGGAAGAGGATATATCACAAAAAGTTATTTCTCAAAAATTAGCCGAGTTCTGCTTACTACTATTACTCTGTCTATCGCAGAAACGATCAGCTATTATCTAATTCTCTTCCTTCTTAGCAGCTATGAGTCATTCATTTCTTCAATCGCGATAGTACAAACTCGTACAAAGCGAAAGATGAGCCTTTATGTAATACTACAGTGTTAGGTATTTATGTGTACGTTGGTAATGTTAATTGCTCCATCATCAATAATTATGCGATTGTCTGTCTCGTGCCCAAAGACTATATTTAATTCCCGGATCAAAAGATTATATAGACATGATTTGCGCAACAAGCGTGACAATCGTTAATTATTTATTAACGGCTCGTTCATACGAACTTACACACACATCGGTGGTGGTCGTCTCGCTGCTTAGCAATGTCAGATCGAATCGCAGGACAAACGCGTAAGCAGCACTTCTGAGAATTACATATCTATGTCACCTCTGAGATTTGTTTTTCGGAAAAGTGCGAAAGACAAATCTCCTTGTAGCAATCACTACCTGTAAAGCAACGTGTGAAGCAACTCGCGACAACTGCGCGACATGCTTCACGTCATCTGTAAAATGTTCAATCGCTGCTTATCATTGGCGTGGTTGTCACACAAAGCAGTATTATAATATTTGTAAGTAAAATTGCGCGTGTCGAAAACCAATTCGTGGGATCACGTCGAGTGCGTTGAATTTGTAAAGCAAAGAAAAAAGTATTTCTCTTTTTTACAAAAAGACATTCTATATTCGTACACATCCAATTGAGTTTTACAAAGTAGTAGTATTTTTGTAACTTGGCAGTATGAAAAATATTTTTCCTAAAAGCTCCTCGATGTCTCGATTAGTACTTTTCAAACATATCTGTGTGAATCTCAGAAAACACCGATACACACAGTCTTATACGTAATATATAACAACCTACAACTTCTTTTGCTTCTCTAAATGTCGTCTTTCAATGATGATGTTATGGGAAACGCGAGTCGCAAACGTGAGGAGGTGATATTAGCCGCGCTATCTTGCTCTCCTTGTGTTACGGAACTGCGGTGCTATTCTTTAACTCGTTATTGGAATTAACGAATTAAAGTGTCGTTAACTCCAATAACGAGTCACAGAATCGCACCACTGACACGATAAATACAATCGCTCCATAATCACCGCGAGATTGAACGTCGCTCGTCTTTATGTTAGCCCGTCAACGATAACACTTGCGCCACGCGGTCATGGTTTGTTGTGACTGCTCGGAGATAAAAAGTGAAGGAGCGGTCGTGGCGGCGCGCGGGCGTTCAGCGCTCAGAACGCCGCTTCCTCTTCGGCGTCTGCGTCTCTCCCCTTCGCCTTGCATTTCCTGCGAACGAAGAAAGGTCGCGATATGATTCTCATGAATCGCGCGGTACATTCCAATGCCCGCGTCCGTAAAACTCCAGCCCGCGGTGCATCTCACTCACTTGCCAAACTCCTCTCCGTCCTGAAGCGTCTCCGGCAAGGTGCATCCGGCAGTTTCGGGTAATAACAGACACAGCGCGGCTGCAATTAGCGGCGAGAGGCCGAACACGACCAGCGGCAGCCACGCTTTAATGCTGCTCTGAAATGCAACGTCCGAAGGTAATAATCTGGAAAAGGAGATTGGCAGTTTGCGCGAGTCTCCGCGATGGCGATATCTATATATATGTACATTCGACGGTCACTTTTTTCTTTTCTTCACGAGAGACGGTTAATAGTAATAAACAACCTGTTCATGCGACACGACACCGACGACGACGGCTCGATTTCATGCTGAACGTACGTGAGCAGAAATCCGAACAGCATCTCGCCCCTGGTCTCTATAAATTTGCGATCGTGAACGATAATCAATTAATACGGCAACTCACCAAGGACACCACGAAGGGCGCCACGATGGAGCCTAGCCGGGCGAACATGCTGCTCGCGCCGACTCCGATGTTCCTCACGACTGTGGGGAACAGTTCTCCGGAGAAAAGGTAGGCCGTCATAAACGATACCGACGTACCGACGATACCGAAACTCGCCAACAGCAGCCTCACCCACGCGCTATCTACGGCAAAGGTGCGACTGGTAAATTCAGGCTGTCTCGATTGACAATCCGTCCAATTTGAAAGGTCCCGTTGTAAGTCGCATATTTTAACATGGCGATCGTTTACGACACGCACACACACACACACACACACAACGCGCTGGTCTCTCACCGTTTAGCACGGCGATCAAGAGGAGACAGGAGACGCCGGCGATGAGGTTGCTGTAAATCAGGGTGACCCGCCGACCGAATTTGTTCATCGTCCACCAACCGACGAAGCAACCGGGAAGCTGTATGACACCGGACACCGCGAAGTTGATGAAAATATCGCCGCCAACCTGGCCGATGTACTGCGACATGCCGAACAGGACCACTCCGCAAACGATCCAGTTGAAGAAGATCGACAGTGACTTGACGCGCATGTTCGGCGTGCGAAACAGATCCAAAAACGAGGGCTTATGGTCCAGCGCGGATTTCTTGAAATTCTGGAATTCAAGCGAATTGGGGCGAATTAACGTGGACTGTAACGCGCTCATGCTTGACTGAACTGATTAACCGACCGGTGTGTTGGCAGCGATTCAGCTCGACGGGGGAGGGGAGGGGGGGGAATAATCGTCGCGCTCTTCTCTCACCTGCTGCAAACAATGTTTCCTGACCACTTCGGGGATGTCGACGTTCTTCACTTTGTTGATATTGGCCGCCTTCTGCAGGATTTTGCAGGCCGCTCTCTGTTTTCCTACGGCTATCAACCACCTAGGCGACTCGGGCACCAGCCACCAGTAACTTAAACAGACAATAGACGGAAGGGTGATGGCGATCTGCAGATGTCGCCAGTGTCGAAACCAGAACGCGAGTCCCGCCAGCGACATGTGACCCAGGCAGTAGGGAATTTGGTAAAAGAAGTTGATGGCGGCTCGCCACTCTGTACCTATTATTTCCATACCTGAAAAGATACGCGATTAAAGGAGGTACACCGACATGAGCCGAAGCATCGAGTACTGGTAAGTTCCGCCGTAGCAAGATCTACATCGTACGCTGAGGAGGGAAATTGCGTCACTCTTACGGACATTACGATCTTGCGAAATAATTGATCGTAGCCTTTCGTCTTGGGCAAACTCGAGCGATGATTGATATCGTAGACTTACAAATAACGAAACTAGTGACTATCATGCCTCCAGTGGCCAAGGCACTCAGGAACTTCATCAGCAAGAGCGCTTGAAACCAAGGAACTATGGCGCACCCGATCCCCGACAGCAGTTGAAGAACCACGGAAGCCATCAGCGGCATTTTCCTGCCGTACCTGCAAGTTACCACCTGTACTTTTTAATCTTCTCCTCCCCGCCTCCTCCTCCACCTCCTCCTTCCCCTCCCAGCCCCTTCTTAATAACCGCGCGTTTATTCATTCAAGGCTTTTTAATTTATTCAAGGGTTATTAATTGTACATGCGCCCTCGCAAGCGGTTATTAATTCAACATGCGTCTAACTGACGTGACCGATGCACTTGCCTGTCCGCCAAACTGCCGAAGATTATGTTACCGAGGAGCACGCCGAACATGAGAATCGACTGCTGTATGTTCGCATAGTGAGTCCGGTCGCAGACTAAATTCCACTGCAACGAAAATAAGCCTCGCAATAACGACAATGCACGCAATGTCGTTCTTACGATAATGCTCCGTAATTGTTTTGTCAGCGAAATGTGCTAATAGCGCCCGCAGCAATTGCTTCGCTGCAAAGCGCGGCAACGTCCGTTAATTACGTTACCGTATAGTGCAAATACAGCTCGCGACGCGCACAGAGAGAGAGAGAGAGAGAGAGAGAGAGAGAGAGAACTCTGCGAGCGCGTGCAAGCACGCGTGTGGATATTTTTTTCCCCCCTTTTCTTTTCCCCTTACTTCGAAAATCGAGCGCTCGTCTCCGAGCAGTTTCCCGACTCGCGACGCGCGAGCGTCATCCTTCGCGCTCACCTGCGAGATGATGGTTTCGGAAAAGATACTTCGATCATACGTCCATTCCGTGCACTCGACCAGCGTGCCGTTAACATCGACCGCGCACTGGTCTTCGGAGTCCGTGGTGGCGGGCACCGTGCAATTATAATCCTGCTGCGGCGCCATGAAGACGATCGCCAATTGATGCCAGGCTACCGGAAATTTCACCAGGGATATCGCCAGGCAGACGAAGATCTGCCACCTGCCGAGGTCGCCGATTGCGGTCTGCACGGCGTCGATGTTCCCGTCAGCGTCGACATGCTCGTCCTTACCGTTGGACACTCCTTTGACGTTCACGTTCGCTGCAACCCAAAGGGACGTCCTTTTCGCGTCAGCCGGATAATAAATTAGATATATTGGATCCTATTCATTAGGAGCCCTTGGATCTGTCGTGTCTCTGCGTCTCTGCCGTGACTTCGACTTCCATCGATACCGGGGCAAAAGCGAGAACACGTCTCGGCTTCGCTTGAATCGCGCCAAGTCTGCAGCGAGCGGATTGTCGTGAAAAGCGTAAATGTCAAAGCGACACTTACCTCGTGAATATTATAACGAGTCGTTAGTGCTGAACGAAGCGGCACTTCGCGTTCTTTTATCGCGTCTTCTGTGCGTTACGATCACGTTACGTGATCACCCATCGATGACTTAATTTCGACTTTCTCGCGCGACACCGCCGAGGAAAAGACGGCGACCTTAGTAGTTTCCGCTCGTTCAACGGCAAACTTCCTCGCCTTTGTTACTTTCGTTTCCCTTTTCCACGCGCGCGTTGTCATCTTCGCGGCAATCATTACGCGCGTGTGAATTAGCAATTGCGCAAGCGCGGACATCGGCTAGCGAATGTACCTGGAAAGCCTTGCCCTGTCGCGACTACGACTTTTTACCCCCTTTTTTTTTTTGTGAAATTAAGAGAGTCGAGACTCGACGGTCGGCGGCGACTCGCAGCGCTCGCGGGTGTTTCATCGCCGAGATGAGTCCTCGATCGCGCTGCGGATGACAATTCGACGACAAGAGCGACGCTTGAAGAGAGACGCAGGCGTTTGCCGGCGGTAAATGACGATGAAACCAGTTCGTGGGAGAAAAAATGTTAGACAGTGCACGGGGACCATAAAACGGGGGCGCGCTAACCTCGAGACATCGAGAAAACAACCTTCGGCTGCGCGCTCGGGCGCTCCAATTTACATCGGCATTCTTCTCCGCGATGCCGCGGAGAGGTCAGTGTCGCGCCTTTCATGCGCCTCTTTCGCACTTGACGCTGTAATTTATTCGCCGGCCATTGTTATACGCACGTGCGCCACGGGACGAGAGTAGGGAGTGTTTTTTCACGGATTTCGCGCCGATTGTCCGCCGAGTCCGAGCGCGGGTAGATCGTCATTCGTCGCGGCTTGCCGAATTTGCATATTGCACTCGCGCGCGCTCGAAAGCTCTCGACGCGAAGCGCCGGTAATTTCGCGACGAACGAATGTTGGTCTCGATCGCCGTGCGCGATCGCGACGTCGCAAAACATACCGTACTCGTCGATTCTCGTATTCTTCATAGTACTCTCGCTCGCTTCCGCTTCCATTTTCTTCCGCACTCCGTCCAGAAAGATCTGCAACACGGATGGTGACCGCTGACGACGTGGAATAATAATAAATCGCATCGCGAACGTATCGATGAGAGACGAGCGTTTGGCAATCGAATGCGCACGGCGGATTATTCGCTCCGTTCAGAGAAAAGCCAAGGTCGCAACTCGAATATACTCGATAAAGCACCCCCCCCCCCCTTGACCTTTCTCTTTTCTTTCTCTTTAGCGCCAATCGACACGTGACTTCCGACACACCTCCGAGCTCGCCCTTATCCGCGCGGATTTGCTCGCGCGTCGCGTCGACAAAATTCCACTCTCCACTCTCCGGAGAAAATGGCCCTCCATTTTCGCCATTTCTCGCGGTTATCATTTATACGGCGCGACACACTGTTACCGCGCGCTACTGAACTTCTCTATAACTCCGCCGAAACTTCACTCCGCCGGACATTTCCCCTTTTTTCTTCCCGCCAAGTGTCAGGATGATCCTCTGGAAATCGCGTCCCGTCTGCACACGTGCAGTTTTTATCCGCGCATTCCCGAACAGAACAGAGCGGGGAACGATCAGCCGCCGATAACTTCGCCTCGAGGGTTAAATAGCGTGTCGATTAATGAGAATCTATATCGATTCGCGCTTACGGGAATCAAACTCGGATATCCGGCCGGCTTGAGAGAAGAATCTCCCTCCCCCTCTTCCTCTTTCTCTCTATCCCCTGTCTCTCTCTCTCTCTCTCTCTCTCTCTCTCTCTCTGTCTCTCCCGCTTCTGGCGCAGCGTCACATACGCGTTGCGAGTTACGATCTGGAAAATGCACTTGTTCGCGCTCTCGCGTTTAGCTCGTGCCAGAAACTGACGAGTAAAGAGTCTTTCGAACAGTGTTCTCCGAGCCGCGGCCACCGCACCGCACCGCACCAGAGGAGGGATGCTGGCGCCAAGCATCGCTCGTCGAGACGCGCCTCTACGTAGAAGTGTAGAAAAACGTGTACCTGGGAAGGGGCCCTACTGCAACCTGCAACCTGCAATTCAACGGCTAAGACGACGGGAGGCAGTGTTTTCCGAGAACGGGTCGGCCATGAAGACCGTCGAGATACGGGTCGAATTTTTTCTCGGTGAAATTTGCGCTTAAATGGAGCGAGCTCGGCGGTGCTCCAGTTGCTCGAAATGCGAAACGACGAGAAGGATACGGAACGATGAAAAAGATATTCTCTCTGTCTGCTCGAGTGAAATCGTCATCTCTGACGAGGATGGTTGAAGAATGCATGCTCGCGAATGGTTCCTCAAGGATATTAAGACTCGATTGGCCGATGCCGGGAAGGCCGATTGCGCTCATCGTCGAAAAGGGGAAACACGGCGATGAGAGGGACGTGACTCGAGGATCGAAAGATCGGAGAAAGCATTCGACGTAGGAACTGAAGTACGAGCGCGCGACGGTCCCCAATGTGGATTTCGCCGAATATTCAATTCTTCCGGCGGTTCCGCGCCGCCCGGGAGCGGGGTTGCTGCGCCGCTGCGCCTCATCTTGGGCTCCACGTCGGAGCATCGCGCGCGCTCCACTTTACTGTTGCACATGTAAATGCGCCGCTACAGCGCAGTAACGCATTTCTCCATTAACCCCAATTAAATCGGTCCCTTAAAAATACACACCGCCGAACGTCGAACGGTATGCGCTGCGATGCGCATCAGCGTTTCCACGTGTGCATCAAGTGGCTTGATTGCCGTAAATTTGTTGACTCGGGGCCAGGGTATTAGTTATTAGGAGGAACGACTTAACCAGCATTCTCACTTCTCGTCTTTCTCGAGCGGCCACGATTCAATTAGTCAGCCGGCCTCCGCGCGAGCCGCTCGGGTCTCGCGATCGCTTCCGAAGCGCGTTCGTTCACACTGGGTCTTACTTCCGATCTCGCTTCCGTTCGATTCTCGCACCGACTTCATTTCTGCCCTGACGACGACGGACGACGACGACGACGACGGACGACGATCGCCGTCCGCGCGCGCGAGTACGAACCGTGCGCGAAACACTTTGCGAGTGCGAGACTTTGAAAGTCTGCACTTCGCCACAGACCGGCTCATTTAGCCGAATTATTATCTTTAACCTTATCGGCCAACATTCGAAAATACAACTGAAATAGATACGCCGTTGCGATTTTACGTTACTCACACTTGCGCTATTTTCTATGCTCGCTTCGACTGCGGAATCGACTCCATGTGCCTCGCGCGTCACACTCGCAAAAATGTCATTGCGATCGCGACGATGCGTACGCATCCGACGACGGTGTTATCTTCCTGCCTTCCTTCGTTTCTTTTTCCTCCCTTTTTCCCTGAAAACGACGTCGCACCTCAGAGAGCCCGCGCCGCCGAGACTCCAAATCCATGCGAGTTCATCTAGATAAGATACGTGGTCTTTGTCATGTTTATAATTTACATAAACATGACAGATGCCTTGCGTCTCTTCTTCTTTATCGCCGTCATATATTATTCACGGACGAGATACAGATTCGTATCAGATGTCTCTATTAATCCAACAAGAAGCAAGCTTCGCCTCGGTAATTGTCGCTTAATCAGCAGTGCAATTGACACATTTGCATGTTTCCCGCGCGATGGAAAACCGAGGTTTCGCTTCCCTCCGCGAGTTATCGCGTATCGTGAGTCACGCGAACGAGGAAAACTAGGGGGAAAAAAGCGCCGAATAAACGAAAATTGCCGAATACGATATACATATATATATATATATATATATATATATCAGTGGCACGCGGCGCAATTATCGTTGATAGCGACAAATGCTTGATGACCGCAAAGTTTCGAAATCATTCGTGCAGCCAGGATACGAGTTTATGTAATAAAGACCGAATTGCCTCCGGTTAAACGTCGTTAGACACCTCGGTCCTCTGGAGCAGAGTACGCAGCTACAACTTGGCTTAACAATTTTCCTTCCGCGATATTACACACAGCGCGGACACACCGCGTAAAATCGCGCGCGTCGCGAGGAGCGCGGCGGGGATCGATTTCGAACAACGTATTTCTATATTACGGGGGGCGGATAGTTTTATCCGAGTGTTTCTCCACTACAGTCGCCGTTAAATATTTCAGCAAGTTTTACTATACAGTACATTGAGGTGAGGTCGTTGCGGATTCTCCCGGTATATGTTGTATTCTCGCGCGTATCTTCCTGATTAACCGAGCTCTCGCCTCCCACCCGCCCCGCCTCCGACAGAATTTCGTTCCTTCTGTCGTGAGGAACAAAGAAGCGCGCGATTGCGCGTAATAAAAGTATACGCGTGCTCCAATAATCGCAGCCTTTGAGAGTACACTTTGTTTCCTCGCTTGCCACGAAAGCCACTGACGAAAACGCAAACTATCATCATTCGCGGCACGCTTCTTGACTGACAGCGGGTTCTCAGCAAGATTCTGGTCGATAAGAGAACCGCTGACGGTAACGACCGTCGAACGCTGCGATGATGGCGAAGGACGCCTGACGCTCGAGCACCATCTTCCTTCGCGGCGCGCTAACAAAATCAACGAAACGTTGCGCAACGGGGGGAATGGAATATTGAAGGAGGAATTTCCAGAAACTCTTGGCTCCAATTTTCTTTTTTTGCGCATTAATTCGGCTCCGATTCAGCCTCCGTTTATTTTACGTTTTGTTGCGATGGAAATTCTGTTATATCGATCCTCGAATAACAGGGCGAATGCAACTGTGCGCTAGGAAACAACCGGATGAAATATTTATGGAACTATAATTGGCTCGGCCGGCGAATCTATTTTGCATGTTTCCCATAATTTTCCTCCAGATTTCATGACTCCTTTGTTCGCCGAGGTGTTTCCTTTGTATCGACTGCAGATACACCGTTTGCGATACAGGATGGAAAGCTCCGCTGTGCAAGCATGAGCAATTTTTCATCCGCGAACATTTGTCGCGAAATTACAAAGAGAAATTTGTGGTTGTTGAACTTTGCAACTCTGCCGACGAGAGTGGAGGAATGTGTGTCTAATTAATACGAGCGCGCTTATCTGTATCGGTTAAACACTAGGCGAGAGGTCAGATAAATTGCAGAATCATTCCGCTATTCAGCGTGGAACGCTATTTTTCGCAAAACTGAAGAAAGCCGCCGCCCACGGCCGTTCACGGCAAGTGAGCCGATAAAATGTAACATAACGAAATAAAGTTTTAACGTGTTCATTTGGACCGAACATTCGGCCATTCACTTTTTTCACGCCATGTACGGTCGTATGGTGGAAATAATTTTTCAACACCGAGGAAGAAAAATACGCGCTTGTGGGGGAAGGATTTTACTTCGCGACGCAGTATGAAAATTACCCGCGCCCGCCGTGTAACTTTGATCGCGCTCTTTGATCGCCAAGCTACCGATTCTGATTTCGACGTAATTAAAATAGTCAAAGGCACGCTTGCATATCCCGGGACTAATTAACAAGAGACGTACCAGCAACTCTCGCGCGAGGAAGTAAACGGACATTGACTCCTCCAGTCAGCAGTCCTCGCGTTGCTCCTGTCGCGCGGCGCCAGCTCCTGATCGTTGCAAACCTAACAAAAAGAAAAGGATATCTGCCAAGGTTGAAAATACGGGCCGCAATTACTATTTGTACCTTGAACGGTGATAACCAGATGCATAATAAACGGTTGCATGTCCGTTGCGAAGACGTGTCTCCGTGTCTCCCACTCTCTCTCTCTCTCTCTCTCTCTCTCTCTCTCTCTCTCTCGCTCTCTCTTCTTGAACTACGCAGCTTGTCTTAGGCAAGCTGAAGAACGTCAGTGACGCGCGAGCGTGGAAAGTGAATGAAGCAACTGACGGCTGAGACGTGACGCGCGAGATCACAGCTCGTCCGAAAAATGTGGCCGCTTGCGCTCGTGACAACCTTGGCATTGAGTGGCGCCGTGGCGGAGACAGTGAATCTACGCCAACACGTATGTAGATGCTGCTATATAGCTGCTATATAGCACATAATCGCAACATCCGTTCGACTGTGCATTCTTACGAGACGTGCAGATCTGCACTTCCTCCTTCAAACGCCGCTAAAATCACGCGAAAGTCCCGCGTCGTCCTCGAGTGAACGCGCGGCACAAGTCGAAGGTGGGAGACACGGGGTGCTCGTTCGCGAGATCTCCATCTGCTTTTTTCACACATTTTGATCCTCTGTATTTTAAGGGGACTGGAGAGTCAGATCGCTGAAAAATCGTGCTTGTTTTTGATAATATTTTGCGACGAACTGAATAAATGCGCAAAGAATGAAAATTTTAGATGTAAAAATTTTGTTTATTAACATGTAAATATAC